AATCTCGTATGAATTCAATAGAATCAGATGAAAAACCAAGAAATTGAAGCTTTGTACAAAGAATGTGATGATCTAAGGTATCAAAAGCTTTACTATAGTAAAGAAGGACCAGACAGGTAAGGTAATTTCGTATCAGGAAATTTCAATGTCCACTTTTTTTATATAAACGATAGCAATTTCGAGAAGCTGATTTTCTTTTTGAGTTATCATGAATGAAATGAATGAAAATCTCATAAGGAAAACACATTGTCTGAATAACTTCTTCATAAAAACAGAAATTAACAATATAGATTGCAACATCTATGAAAAATACTTTATCAGATCATGATGGCGTAATGTTTAGTATTCCAATTGAAAACATACTGAATTCTGAAGAATAAATTATTAGGCCTATTCACGATATGGGTTATATCCATAACGCTCTTCAATTGAAGTTTTGTCAAAGATGAAACTATACTCTTCAACACACTTCGTCTCTCACCGAAAAATCTTCAACCCGATGCCTTCAAAGTGAAAATCAAAATATTGCTATTCAGGAATGCTGTTGTACGATTTTGATGGATTCTCAACTTCAAATTTTAATCTTTAAATATTTATGTTGACTTGTGTAAACACGAATTTGTAATAGCACTCATAAATACCTATTATTATCATTATCAAAATGCTGCCAAAATGTCCGATGCAAGCATTGTGATTGAGTTTCCAATGAGTTGTAGCAAAACTCGTCAAAGTTATGTTTGTTGCAGATTCAGAAATAATGGAATATTAAAAATGACATGTCTCTGTATTTCATTAGTATGCAGGTTGAATAAAATGATAAATTCGTTTCATTTGCTTGTTCCACACAGTCTGGTCGGGTCCTCTCATCGTCATCGTACTTAGAAAGTGAGCAAATGAACTCACCAATATTTTGAAGACTATTCAACCTGTCTTATAAGAAAATGAGGATTGCTCACGTTCGGCCCATTCCCAAACAGGGCAAGAAAAATATTTCGAATAACTATAGACCAGTCGCTTTACTATTACTGATATGAAAAATGATGGAGAAAGCCGTAAACCACCAAATCCTTAAATATTTGGAAAGCATCAAGATTTTGAACGATCATCAATATGGCTTTCGGAAACAAAGATCAACGAGCTTCTTCGTATGTCACACATATTTGGAATACGCAATCGAGAAACATCTAGAGTCAAGAGATTGATATTTCTAAGGCCTTTGACGGTATGTGGCATAAGGAATACTTCTACCATCAACGCTGGTGTTTTCCAGGGATCCATATTGTCTCCAGCCCTCTTATTGGAGGAACACCAAAAATCCAATATGTTGCTTTGCTGACGACATCACACTCGACTCGTCGTTCCATTTGTATTCCTGGACATCGGTTGCGGATGTACACCTTCACCGGCAGCAGGAGGTTGCTTAATGAGGATCTAGAAAAGCTAGGCATCGGTTTTCTCGAAAAAGATAAATGTTTTAGAACCGCTTTCTTCTTCGACGATTTTGTTGGAAGTTAAAATTGACACCAATATTCTTGGACCAATCATGTCACTGGAATTGCAAAGACTGCTTCTCAAAAGCTCGGAACACGGTTCCGAACCAGGAAACTATACACACCTTAACAACTTTTGATGCTTTATAAAGCTCAGATCAGACCTTCTTTGGAGTATTGTTCACATGTATGGAGCTCCGCCCCTAAGCATACCCTGAAGCTGCTGGATTCCATCCAGAAAAGAGTCATTCGCCTGATTGGAGACGCGAACATCACTTGGAACTTTGATAGTCTGGAACATCGAAGAAAGGTTGGAAATTTATCTCTCTTCTATAGATACTTTCACTGAAAGTTTTCAAGTGGCTTAGCCCATTTGATTCCACCAAGAGCTGTACATATAAAAAATATGCGACGGACTGAGGCTGCTCATCATTTCCACTCAGTTCACTTCGAACTCTTTAAGAACTCTTTCATTTGGAGAACTGCGTTTATGTGGAATAAACATCCTGAGAACTTTATTTTATACTCTTATAGCCAAAACGGTATAAAATAACGAATCCTCCAGAAAAAAATTGATTCAATCTTTAGCGATTCAAAGCCAATTATCCTGCAGTGCTTGTGTTTTGTCCTTAAAAAAATATATATCATTACAATTAGATGGTTGATAATTCTCCCCGATGATTTCCATTGATCCTCAGTTTTATTACCTTTTCTTTTTTAGTTTAGTTACCACAACACAATTATTCTCAATGAAAGGGGTATATTTATTGGGGAGATAACTGGATTACTTCAGTTCAAAACTTCTTTCGGGTTCTGAAATCCTCGTCTTGGATTTTATAACTGTTCTTCCTATATGAACTTATATTCTATCATACACGGAAAGAATATTCGTTCAAATTTCGATGACAAAAATTATAGTATGCATAGATATTTCAATAATCGTAGAACACGGTTAAAACTGAAATTAGTTTCAAATTGAAAAGGGTATAGTTTAAGAAGATATTAGAGGAAGCTTTTTGGCATTCAATTTCTCCATTTTAATAAAAAATAAATGTGCGAAACATTCAACAGAAGGAAGAAAGCAATTACTTTCAAAGTAAACCATTTGAGAAGGTGTGTAGATCATGCATGGAAGTTACTTTCAGGCACAAATTGAAAGAAAAAGCCCTCATGAAACAACTACTTCCATATAAACATTAAATTACACGACTGAAAGGGTACTTTGGAAACAACAACTTTCATATTACTACTTTATACTACTTTTATATAAACATTGGATTATACAAAAAACAGTTTTTTTATCCAGTTTGTACTCCAAAAATTCATTATGGAATTGAAACAGAATTGCTACACAATATAGTATATAAAAGAGATAAAATTTCACTTACATGGAACTCTGTCATGCTCAATGGCCAACATCGACGTTTCGGAATGAGAAACTTGTCTTATTGTCTTTTCAGCACCAATCTGGGTAACAATAGGTACAAGATGAAGCACTGAATCATTCATAAAGTTACGACTTTATGTCTGCAAGCTTGTGCAGATGACACTTGGCAAGGTGCACGTCGGGAAGGGTATCTTGTAATATCCTCCAAAGCACGATGAACGTTGTTCACAATTGGTGCCTGAGGGAGCAGATGCCTGTCAACCCCAGCAAAACTGTGATGATCTCCTTCAGCAGGAGGAGAAAATTGGACGATTTAACGCCACTTTCCCTCAATGGTGAGGTCATTCCATTTGGAACGGAGGTGAAATATTTTGGCATTGTCCTTGATGAAAAACTCACATGCAACGCTCACTTGGAAAAAGTTTTACACAAAGCCAGAGTGTCCCTATGGACATGTCGAAAGATGTGCCATGAAACTTGGGGTTTAGGTCCCAAACAAATCCATTGGATTTATGTGATGATTGTCAGACCAATGATCACTTATGGTGTAATTTCCTGGTGGCCGAAGGCTTTACAGAAAACGGCCCAGGCGAAGCTCTCTGGCTTACAGAGACAGGCTTGTCTGGCCATCAGTGGTGCCACACCGTTAGCGGCCATGAAGATCTTTCAGGCCATACTGGCCTGGAAGGCAATGAGGCTGCTGACACCTTAGCAAGGGAGGGTGCTGCAAGAAGCTTCATTGGACCAGAACCTGTCATTGGCATCGCTTTAGGCTTTGCTAAACGAAGATTGAACAGCTGGATGGCAAGAAGATTTATGGACTTCTGGCAGAATCTTCCAGGAATAACTCACTCCAAGGTGTTTATTCACCCTTCGAAGCTTGATACCAAACAGTTGTTGGACTAAAGTAGGGATGAACTACGATCTCTAACAGGCCTTCTTACAGGTTACTGTCATTTGAATCATCATATGCAGAAACTCGGACTGTCGGAAGACAGTGTGCGTCGCCTCTGTTAGGAAAATGATGAAACAGCGGATCACATACTTGATGCCTGCCCCGCTGGGAACTGAATCATGTTTTTAGAGTTTGGCAGAGCCGTCCTCTTACCATCTGACCTGAAATACTACTTACCATACAAACTAATCAGCTTCGTTAAGAAGCTGGGTTCATTTAGTAGAGTGTGAATATGTATGAGCCACAATAAACCCTTGCGGATTGCGGTGGAGGGTCGAATAGACCCACTCACTTTGGACCTAACCTTACCTACCTACTCGAGTTGGAAAACATTCTGACAGAGCTCAAAGATTTTTTTAAATGAATTTCCTACATTCAATGATTTGCTCTGTGATAATAATTCACAACATAACAAAGTTTTTGTTTCGGGGTTGAAATTAGATGATTTTAATGTATTTCCACGTGTTAAAACCGAAAGTGACCATAAAAATTATATATTAGCTCTTGTTTTCAAGATATAGTATCATTATATTATATATATGTATATTGAGTTTTCAACAAATGAAATATTTCATCACCAACA